ACAAAGCTTGCCTGGCATGCATGAGGCCCTGGGTACAATTCCTCAGTACCACATAAGCAGAAAAAACTGGAAGTGGCGCTGTGGCTCAAGTGGTAACCACTAGCCTTGAGGTGAAGAGTTGAGAGACAGTGCCCAAGCTCAGAGTTCAGGCCTCACGACCAAAAACAACAACAAAAAAATCCCATCCCTGCTGTAGATGAAGAGGAACCAAGGCTTAGAAAATAAGGAAGTGATGTAACACTGCAAACAATGAATAAGGATTTGGCCGCCAACAATGAATCTCAGCCTTTCACTTACAGCTCTGTGATCTCAAGGCAATATACTGAACTTCTCAAGCCTGTTTCTTCATTTCACAGAACAGATACTTCCTACCTCAGTCCTAGCATCTCATAATAATATAAATGAGAAACCTAGCACCCCTTGAGACTCACTACTCCTCTCTCCATCTTTCTAGCCAAGTCCGGGGCCTACCCAGATCTCTAGTCCAGCACTTTGGTTCTCACTGCTTATACTTCACTCTCAAAGATTAGTCCCTTCCCTAGTCCTCCCAGTTCAGTTCTGTGGGGGGTTTTTTGTTTGAACTCAGGACTTGAACTCAGGACCTAGGCACTGTCCCTGAACTGTTTTGCTCAAGTCTAGTTTTCTACCACTTGAGCCACAGTTCCATTTTCAGCTTTTGTGATGAGTAACTGGAACTAAAAGTCTCATGGACTTTCCTGACCCCACTGGGCTTCAAACCAAAATCCTCCATCTTTAGTCTCCTGAGTAGTCAGGATTACAGATTTGAGCCACCAGTGCCAGGCTGGAAGTTCTTTATTCCTTGCTTTCTCTTATGTATGAAATACAAGCCATCAACAATCTTTTTCTCTCCACTTTCAAAATATGTTTTTGACCTTGTCTACCCATTACCACCTGCTATGAGCAGCTCTCATTTCTGCTCTAGACTAATGAGGAGGTCTCTGACTGCTCTCTCAGCTTCCTTTCTTGCTCATCTTCTACCATTCACACTCCATTTAGTAGGCAAAATGAACTTCTGAAAAAGGAAATCAAATACTGTCACTCCTTGTTCTAAATCTACCATGGGCTTCTCATGATACTGAGACTAAAGTCCACAACCATGAGACCCCAAAATGATGTGGCCCCTTGTGACCACCTTCCCTCATTTTCCTGTCTCCCATTCTCCATCCTCCACATCCCTCAAGTCTTGCTAACCAGAATCACCAAGCTTACTCCCACCTCAAGACCCTGTCACTCACTGATCTTCTGGCTCTCAAGACCCTTTCCCCAGAACTTCATCTCCTTACCAGCTGTCTACCCTGGGGACCCCTCCCCTCTAAGTACTCTTTCCTTCTTCAGGGCTTTACTTCATTGCTCCTAGTCTGACTTCCCTTCACACATCTACTTACTCCCAAGGAAACATGCTCCATAAGTGTAGGGACCTTTTTGCCATCTTCACAGAGGCATTTTCCATCCCTAGAATGGCATCTGGCACCTGTAGGTGCTTAATAAGGTATTTACTCAATGAATAAATGAATGAGAATTGAGAGACATCCCAACTCAGGGCTGCCTGTACCATAGCAAACACTCTTCCTTTCACAACACCAAATTAGCACAGAGGCCACTGAGAGGGACAGCAGAGGCCCCTGGGAAAGACGGTGTATGTCAGAAATGGGAAGATGGAAAGCCAGGATGAAACGGCCAGGAAGAGAAGCAACTGCCCACCAGGCATGGAGGTTTTCAACAACAAAAAAAAACAGTGAAAAGGAGGCGTCTACCTGGCATCCCTACTATTTTTCTAGCATGTGCTCTTCTTGGTTCCAAAAGCATCTGATACCACAGCTTTGCCAAGGTCTTGTCACCTCTCCCATCCACAATGTAAAGGGACCCTGGAACTAAATCAAACAGCCTCTGCCCACAATGGGAGCTGAGACAAA